CATCAATAAATCCTTTCATTTATGTGATCGACCTGCATTTAAACTGAATATTTACCACAAATTAAAGGTATCTTAGGTTATTAGATATATTATTATAAAACATGCTTTGGTTAAGGAGTTATTGATACTTCAAGTGCAAAATGATGATATAAAACCATGATAAAAATGCACTTTTAAGTACTAATCATAACTAGTTTAACTTTGTTTCTAATTGTTGTTCCATGTTTATCAACTTTATTCCTAAACACCCATTTTGTTTTAGTAATAGATTGATTATTAGGTCTAGAGACTAGTTTCCAAACATTATTTCATTCAAATTGGTTTAGGTCATCTTACATAACTAAAATCCATTTTCTATCCTTTTTAAATTTTAGAAATGGTTTACGTTCTATATGAGAAACGAAAGCAAAGTGACCGCTAGTGTTTCCAAGTGAAGCTTTAATCTTAGTCCCTCGAAAGGATTACTAATAATTAATTAAAAAAGATGGGAGTTTGTATATCTTAGTTCATATAGAGGTACAAAGTTACATACCATATCTTGTTATTTGCTTGAGTTTGGTTGATCTTTGTACATTTCTTCGTTGTTTGCCTTCATAGGGATCTTATCATTAATACTTAAATGATGAACACTTTCATTTATGTCATTTAGAATCTTAATAATTTTTTTAGTTTGAGTTTCCTTTAATACAACATACATGGATTTCTTAAAATAAAGTGTTATGTTATTATTATAAAACTTTACATACTTTGCTAGAGGAGGAATAATCAACAAAAAATCCTATATCAAATTTTAAATCAAATTTATCTAAATTATCTTCAGTGTAGAGAATAAAGCAATGTGAGCGAAAAACATTAAAATATGAGATGTTGGGTTTCTTTCATCTTCAAAACTCATAAGGAGTTTTTCTTAACTTCAATATTAAAGTAACACGATTTAAAACATAGCAAGAAGTGTTTACAGATTCTTTCTAAAAATATTTAGGTTTGTGAAATTCATTTAACATAGTTCTTGTCATTTCTTCAAGAAATTGATTTTTTCTTTCTATGACCCCATTTTGTTGGAGAGTTCTAAAAGCTGAAAAGTTATGGTGGTATCTTTTTTCTTCACACAAAATTTCAAACAAATCATTTAGAAATTCACCATTATGATTACTTTTTATATTTATCATGGAAAAATCTTTTTTATATTCAACTTCTTTTTTAAAACTTTACAAATTTATGAATAATCATCTTTAGATTTCAAAAATAAAACTCATGTGTATTTTGTAAAATCATCAATAATTACAAACACATATCAATTACCACTAATACTTCTAGTTCTAGTTGGTCCAAAAAGATTTATGTGTAGTAATTTTAAAGATCTTTCGGTTGAAATGTGATTTTTCCCCTTATTTATCCATTTAACAAGCATCACATAACCTTTTTTTTTTTTTAAATACTATATTTACAAACTCTTAACCATATCATTTTTAACTAGTTTAGAAATGATGTTCATGCCAATATGACCTAGTCTTCTATATTAAACTTGGGTTAACTCGAGTTTATTTTTAATAGATTTGTTTTTCAATTTTATCTTTTAACATTAATTTGATTGAGAATTGAGTTTTGTAATTTATCTTAATTTGTTTTTTATTGGATTATCCTAGTCTCATGATCTGAGTCGCAAGTTTGACAAGTTAACTCAGGTTGACTTAATTTATTTATTTTAGTTTTTAATTAGTTTTTTTTTTCAATTTCATAATTTAGTATTGAGTTTATTAAAAATTGAGTTTCATAATTTATTTTAATTTATTTTCTATAAAATTATTATGGTCTCATGATTTGCATGAAGAATGGTAACTTAATTTGAATTATCTAATATGTTGTCGTCTCAATATTTATAAACAAATACCATCTTGAATATTTATTTTGAAGTTAAATTATATTTTTATTGATTATTTAAATTTTTTTAGATTTGTCAAGTCAATCAAGTTATATCGGATAAGTTTTCACATGGTTGAAAATTTTTTCTACTAGAAAAAACTTTAGTAATATTTAAATATTTTTTTACATTGAAAAAATTAAATTTAACCCATTACATGATACGAGCTCATAATCTAGTCTAGAGATTATTTCAAAACCAATTCCTTGTCTCGAATAATTACAAGAATATAAGAAAATACAAAAAATTAAGAATGGGTTATTCAATTTCTTATGATATAAGATTCAATTTCTTATGATATAAGAACTTCACGTAAAAGATTGTAGAGCTCATTTAGACAATTCCTAGAAGATGGGTTGCAATTGAGGGGATTTTAGAGAACCAATCCACATGTAGAACAATTATAAAAATATAAAACAATATATAAGATAAAAATCGATAATGAGATACCTATCAAAATACAATTAAGAGTTTTTTTTTTTTTAATGAAACTCACACTCAACTATCGAATTCAATTGATACCGATCGATGAGGGTGATTTTGTCGGCTAGCACAATTTCAATTTGCTTAAGGCCCTGGTGTTCAACAAATGGCATTGCCTATTTTTTTTGGAGGCTAAATTGGAAATAATTTTAGTTTTATGTTCTAGTTGAGGATCACGTAATAGTTGCGGGCCAAATATGTCATTTTCCTCTATTTTTTTTTTTTAAAAATCTTCTATGATCTGATTGATCAGTTTTTTATAGTTCGCCTTGCCACCATACGGAAGCTTAATTAGCTTCAATTTAAACTGAGAGATTCACTTCTTACTTTATTCTATCGCGAATTTGAAGAGAAACCCACTTCTTAATTCTGTCTTTCTTGAAAGCCATCTGAGAATTTGTTGCTGGATCTGTTACTATTATTGGGTTTTGTGAAGATTCATTTTTATCATAGCTATTTGTTTTCCCTCCATTTTTGGGTGGTTTCAATACGAGGAAAACATGAGCTTAGATCATTTTAGGTTGCTTGTAATGTACTGATATGGACTTGAATTCAGGGGTACCGTTTTGGAGAATTTATTGTTCTTTGTCGAGATTGAGTGTCTTTTATGGTACTTATTTTCCTGGTCTAGTTTTGAAGGAGTGATTTACGCTTGTTTTGGAGAAGAAAACCATTACTACTATGTTTTGGAGGGACCGTCAGAGAGAAAACAAGGACCAAAATGGTGGACCACCTTGTGGTCAGGTTCGAGTTCTTGTTGTTGGTGACTCAGGTAATTTTCTTTTTATTAATTTGCACTCTCTATTGTTTAGTTTATTGAATTTGCAATGCGTGTTTTATTGGTAATTTTATGTAAGGGGATATTGGTGAATTATGCTTCTGCTAAATCCTAGTTTAGATAGAACCTGGATAGTATTAGAGGGTTTCTTGAAAGAATAGAAGTGAGTGTCTCTAGTGGACTTTGAGTAGTAACATATGCAATTTCTGCTGGAATCCATTGGAATCAGATGGTCTGATTGGATATCTGTAATCTTGCCAATATGACTAATTGATGGTCTAAATACTCCATTTTGGACCGAAAAAAGATGGGTGATGTGCGTTGGGCTGATTATCCTTTGCATGACATGTAGTTGATGATGATTCAATAGTTACAACGTGTCATTCTTAGTGTGAGATCTAAAGAGCTTGTAGGGAGATATTGTTTCTGTTATAGATTCGGAGTTGAGGGTAGTCTTTTGCACTTTAAGACTGATTTAGGCCTTCAAATCTCTCCAGGGTTTTTGCTTCAACTCTGATCACCAAGATTAGGCATTGCCTTAATAGTAAAGTGAAATATCAGCTGCAATTATCAACATCTTCTACAAACATGATGTGCAAGTTTAATCCCCAGGAATACTGACTAGTTATTATTTTAATTTACTGGAAACCTATAGGGCTGGAGAGTATATTTCAGATTGAGGCCGGAAGAAGGAAAGAAAACTGGAGCTTGATCAATATTTATGAATTTCTGTGGTTATCTCTGTAGCAGTTTTGTTCACAGAAAACTAGTCTCTGTTGCTAGGGAAATCAGCTCTGGATTTTGTTCAAATAAGGGACAATAGAACAACTACCTTTGTGGTTGTTGGTGTTTTGGTGCGGCAGGGATAGAGGAGCTGTGTAGAGCATGTTATGCAGATGGCATGAACATTTCAGACTCCTCTTAGTTTATATTTTTGGGCCTAGTAAATCTCTCTTCAAGGAAGAACGTTAATTGGATGATATAATGTTAAACAGTTGAGGCTCCTCTAGGATTATTTGGCATGTGTGGGGCTCAATATTTGTTCTTAGCCATTAATAATAAATAGTAACAGGTTAAAACAGTTGGCCGCATATTGGTTCTCAAAATAAACTCAAGTGTGCCTGCTTCTGTTCAACTCACACATTGATTGTGACTTGTTGGAGGACATGTGATTTGCTTGCATGATTTGTGGGTTGCTTGTAAGAAGTGGAAGTCATTTCTCCTCTATGATCCATACTATTTTCCTCCTCTTTGGAAGCTGAGATCAAATCCATTTTTTATTTTTATCTTTGTAGGTGTGGGTAAAACCTCACTTGTTCATCTTATTGTCAAAGGTTCTTCCTCCGCTTGCCCTCCTCAAACAATTGGATGTACAGTTGGTGTGAAGGTATGGTTTAATATGGCTTTGTTAGTTGACATTAACTTTGTAGTATATAGTTTGGAGTTCAAAATTTTTAACCAAGTTCTTACCATCACTTCTTTACAGCACATTTCTTATGGTAATTCCAGTAGCTCATCAAGCAGTATTAAAGGTGACTCTGAGAGAGATTTCTTCGTTGAACTCTGGGACGTGTCAGGTCATGACCGATACAAAGATTGCCGGTCTCTATTCTATTCTCAAATTAATGGTGAGTGCTGTTTTTTCTTTATGGCTAACTGTATTTGCTAAACTTGGTCATTTTCTATATGCATATTTAGTTATAACCAGCATTCGTTGGCTATGCATACATCAGTTAAAAACATTTACTTCTCTTTGTAGGCATGAATGTTCTGTTTAGCTACAATTACACTGTAGATTTTCATTGATAAAAGAGTTTGATATTATTCTGTCTCCTTGGAACCTTCTTGTAAGCATCCTTATTTGTTGATATCATTTGGATAAGGCTTTGGTTTTTAATCAGGCATTTATTTTTGTGCCAGTCTTACAGGAAGCAAGTTTGTGTTTGCATCCTAATTCAATTATTAAATTTCATTAACGATGCACTTGAAGGTGCAGTGCAGTGCAGTAGATTTAGAAAATGGTATAGAGATTTGTTACTACTTCTTACTTATCTGATAATTTGGGTTCTTTAGATGCAATTCTGCTAAGTAAATGTGGAAATGATATTCCATAAAGCTTGTTATGATAGTTACGCCATCATTTTCATTTCAGCACCTCTTATCCAAAAATATTCTGCAACTAAATGGTTTGTATGATAGGACACTCAAGAAACATGATCACAAATCTGGAGAAAACATGTTATTATGTATTGGGACTTTTGGCATTGCATGTCTAAGATAAGTGGCAAGTTGGTGTAACTTCTCTTGTGTTGTGCAATGGCCATGCAGTTCTGGTTGTTAGTTTTCTCACTGGTTGGCATTTGGTGAGTCATGCCAAAATCAGCGATTTAGTTATTTATGCATTGGTAGGGAGATTTCGGACTTATAAAGTGATATGGTGCATAGAGTGATGTCTTTGTAGTTGGCTATGTATATGTTTCAGGGAGTAGAATTTTAGGTGTAATATTTTCTATTCTAGATTCCTGTAGCTGAAATTTTATGCCTTTCACCTCCTTTTTTATTGTCTTATTCTTTCCTTTTTCTTCATTTGAAAGTGTACTTTGAAAAGAATATTTTCCTTGAACTTTTGAGTAGAAGAGTACTAATCCGAGTGGTGAGTCTATCTTAGATTGTTTTTTAAACTATCAGTAGTCAATGTAATAGCTGGGCAAAATTTAGGTAGGGGGTCTAATCAGATGACTTTTCCTTAGTTAATACATCTAACAGAGGATGTATTAATAAATGTGAGACGGGATTTTGAATAAGAACTATCTCAAATATGTTGTGTATGGTAGCCAAAATCATGGTCAATCAACTTTATCCCATCCTCTCCTTATCTGATTTGAACTCTTCATAATGGTGGCTTTGTTAACATGGGCAGGCTGCCAAAGAAGCAAGGTATGACAAAGAAGCTGTGGTAAAGTTTTTTCGAACAGTAAGTATTTGGCTCTTGTATCCACATCTTTTAGTGTGTCTGTGGATGTATTTATTCATTATTCATGTTGGACACTTTCCAACTTCTTTTGGATCACTTTGTTTCAGTTGATCAGGAGAAGATATTTTTCAGACGAACTACCTGCACCAAGTCCATGGTCTGCTTATCCAGTTCAGAGATCTGTCCAACGTTTAGATGAAAATACAAGTGATGAGGATTCATTTTACAAGACTACAAGGTACCCTATACTAATGATATTACTGTATGTTGCAAGATATTCATGTCAGCTCTATCTGAGTGCCACAAAAAAAATGTCACTGTTTTTTAAATTTAGATGAAAGCTGCATTTCACATTATAAAGGGTATCGAACATAGAATTCCCTTGTCACCAAGATGCCCAAGTTGATTTTCTCAAATGCAGAAAATCTGTGTTGTGCTTGCATTGGGAATGTTTTTTTTCCAAACATATCCCAATATCATGCTTATTATGTACTTTTGCTTGGCTGATATTTCATGCCACCAATGATCTTTTCTTGGGGGGGCTGGGGGACTGAGTTTTGCTGGCTTACATTATATGTTCTGCTTATGAATGAAAGAGAACTGTTGGAATGGTTACTGGTGTTTGATTGATGTCCTTTGTGGCTTGGTGAATGGTGATACAATTTAGAAGTTTGGTTTTGCTGTTACTATGTTCAGCTTCTTCTTTTTATCATGTCATAATGTAGTTCATCTACTCGATTTTCTTCTTTTTAACGTGATTTGTGTTCCATTTGGGGATATGACCAGTCTTCTGCTATTGCAGCTTAGCTGGCGATCCTTACAAATACAATACGCTCCCTCCCCTGCCAGCTCAACGAAATCTGATACCACCTCCAACACTTTACCCACAGCAGCCGGTTTCAGTTACCGAGAGTTACAGCATTCCAAGATTTACCCTGACTGGCTCTCAAGAAATAAGCAACACTGCAAGATTGAAGCGAATGGATATTAATGTTTGATGATCTGGGGCTCTGGATTTGCTCTGCGAAGAATGCACTTTCACTTGGTGCTGAGCTCTATTTGTTAATATGGAATTCCTCTCGTTTTGCTTGTAAACCGTTCAATTGATTCTTTTTTCATGGCCTACACCGCTGTAAGTTTTTGGGTTACAGTTTGGTCACAATTTACATGTATATTGATTGATTGGTCAACCTGAAGTAGTGGCAATTAATCTCCACGGAGGTCGGAACTCTTCTTTTTTTTTTCTCTGTAGTGGTTTTTGTGGAGGAAAATATACTCGTGAAACTGTTTGTATCCTAGTTATTCTGCTTCAAAAAAATTCTTTGTTTAAACAAATTGGCTCTCAATCTTTAACCCCCTACCTCTCTTCCCTTCCAAAAGGGAAACTTATTGCTGCATAAGCATTGTTTTATGTTGCGATGAAATAGACATAATTTCCACGATCCATTGCCATCTGTGATGGTGGTAAACAATAAATCCAAAGACATCTCTAATCTAATGGTAGTAAAAAACTGCAGAAAGAACGCACCCATATAAGAAAACGACTCAGATGACTAGCAGTATGATGATTTCTGCAGAAAGGCTATAAGAATTGCTTAACACTAATGAAAGTAACACGAAATCATTCTTGTCTATCTATATAACACGCTGAAGGATAAAAAAAAAAAATATATCTTATTGTTAATCTCATGTTCTAATTATTTGTCCGCAGGACATACTCTTTTGAAAATCGGCAATGGAGGGGAGTCTCTCAGGCCATAGAGTACAGCATTGATCATTTCATCAGTGCTTACTATCTCAGCCACAGATTTTGGCATCCCAAGTATGCCATCCATATATGGAGACCAGGTTCCATAGCTGCTAATTTCTGGTTCGCGTTTTACTTTTGTTTCCAGCTGCGGCACCTTCCTTGGGATGTTCTTTGTGCTGTTTTTACCCTTCCTTCCCCCTGTTGTTTTAGCCATATTACCAACTTCGATATATGAAGACCCGGTTGTGTTGCAGCTAACATCTGGTTCGATTATTTTTGTTTTTGTTGCTGGCTGTGGCACCTTCAATGAAATGTTCCTCGTGCTGTTTTTGCTTTGCTTGCTCATTGTAGTTCTAGCCATATTATCAACACCTGACCTGACAAATGGTTAATTTCTCATTGTAGGCAGTTTCATATGTAGAAGTGGAACATAAAACTCTGGCTCCATCTTATATATATATATATATCCCTTGCCTTTTCCTATTCTATGATCAAGAAGTTAGTGGTTAGCCAAAAGAAAACTGAAAAAAGATCCTTTTTCTTGATCATAGAATAGGAAAAGGCAAGGGATATATATATATATATATATAATAGATATATATATATATATATATATATAAGTGTGAAGTAATTCTCAGATTCTATAAGATTAACAAAAGAAAGCTGATATACAGTCGTATGTTTTGCAGAAGTACCTGGCGCGGGGGTTCCTTTCCTTGTTGTTCTTGGGTTCTTCAAGAAGAGGGAGGGAAGGGCTTAGTCATTGAAGGAAAACAAATGCTCGCTGAGATACGCATTTATTTTATGTTCACGCACGAAGATTTGTGTAACTCATGGAGTTAATGGCAAAATAAATATGAGTGAATAATTAATAAATTAACAATTAATAATATTAGTTTTGGTGATTGTGCTCCTTCCTTTTCAAATAAAGGATTAGATTAGGAAATAAAAACCAAGATTTACATGCAATTGAAACCTATTCCATCAGCATATTTTTACACTGACGGGGAAGATTTTCCAAGTTAGTTTTACTGAATTAAACCTATTCCATAATTTAATTTATCATATACTTCAAAACTCAGGATCAATAAAAGCATGGGGATGCAAGAACTCATGCCATCAACCAATGAAGACTATATATATTTTTTTTTCACAGGGACAATATATCTCTTAGAAAAACCAAGCACGAAAAGGAAACAGGAACTCGCCAAAAAGGCATGTCAAGAGGCAAAACCATGTCTAGGGCATCATGAATGTTAATCTCCTGCTCATTCGTATTGGATATATATAAGATATTCTTCACCTTCTCGATCCGTTGCTGCTTCTTGATACAGGAGGTTTTAAGAAAAAACAATTTTCTTAGTTATTTTTATTAATTTAAGAAATAAGATATTATACTTAATAATTTTTTTTTCTCAGTTTTTATAGGAACTATATTACTCATTCTTTATTTTTGAGTTTTCTAGTTTATTTAAGTTGTGTAAAAGAGGATATTTAAGTTG